CCTCCTGCCATCCCCTACAGACAAAATACTGAAGGACTTTAGGGATAAAATGTTAAAAAGCAATTTCCCCCCCCTGTTTGGTGTTCCCTACGAGTCTAAAATGCTAAGGAACTGAGAAGAACGAAGCTCAGGAATTCTCTTTCACACAAAGAGAGAAAGAAACCCTGATGTTTGGATTTTCAGTCCAACTGGCATAATACAGTTTACTGCGTACGATGGACATACTTCTATGACGAATTAACCAGGACATTCAAAGGCAACGTTCTGAACTGAATGTGGATATTCCAAAGGAGTGGGTAGTTGTTGTTGTTTTTGGTGGGTGTGTTTGTGTTTGGGGGGGGGGGGGAATTCACAGATCTTTCAGGATTCCTGATATTAATCAATGCAAGATACAACCTCATTTGTTTTTTATTTTTTTTAATTTGTGGAATTAGACCCTGGGAGACTCACAATATAGATAAGTACTTAAAAAAAAAAACCTTTCCAGATATGGCAACTACAGGGATAAGCTTTTTTTTAAAAAAAAACTAAGCACACAGCAGAATTTATGAATCCCCAAATCCAAATATTTGGCTTAATTAAGACATTTAATGAGATTCCCTGCAGCTCATGTTTCAGAAGAGACAAATGGACAGATCCCTATTCACGTCCCTTTGGGAGGAGGGGAGGATGCCCATTTGTTTGCTTAGAGAAGGACAGCTGCACCTAGAGGAGGGGGAGATTCACAGGGTATAGATGCAATAGCGGCAATGCTTACTTAGGAACCTCTCCTTGCTGGCTATGCCGCAGGGCAGGTACAGTGCTATGTACAGAGGCCACTTGACTGTTAGGTGATGGACTTTAAGGAAACCCTTTGTGCTCCTCATACAGAAAGCCATGAGAACTCTGAGATTAAATGCAGGGAGTTACAGTTAAAAGTCAGGCTTTCCTGCTTTGATACTGAGCCTTACCCAGCAGATTAAGCATGTCAGTGCACTTCCATATTTTTCTTAATTATAAATATACTTAAATAAACTAAAATAATTTTAATCAAGAGGAAATGTGACTTATATATACATATGTGCACCAGAAAGGTTCTATGAAGGCGGTCCATACAAACATCTATTGATTTTCCCCCAAGTGAGAGAACATCTGCTGTGCTTTCTGGAATAAGGTGGAGAGATGACAGCACGGCAAAACCATTCCCAATACTAGATGGGTCCAACTTCCACCAACGGGGATCCCCTTGGACACACTGCATGCATACAGAGACCCTTGTAATGCATAGTATGTCCTTGCATTGCTGACTCTGCCTGCTGTGATGACGCAAGGCTCTTATAAATAGTAAGACTTATTGTAATACATAGTGGAAGTATGTTATTTTAGAATTCTCTACAACGCACCAAGAAACTGGCAATCATAATTAATAAAGTGAGTTAGCTCAATTGCACAAAACAAATTAATCCACCTGACTGTTTCAAAACCACAATAAACACAACGTCGTGCTCAAACTTCTAATCTCACATTTCATATAGACTGGGAGGGAGGCTACAGTATAGCATGAATAACTGTCCACACAAATTTCCTTATGCTTAACAGAAGCAAAGATATTTCATGGTCAGAAAAATATTTTGTTATTTTACTACAAAGAGTATAAGGAAGCTATTTTCAAAGAGGAATGCACATACAAAAAAACAAACACCTTAAAGATAAATGAATTTTTATTCCAGCATGTTTGCAGACAAGAGCCCGCTTTGACAAATGCATGCTCTAGTCGATGAAAGTTTGGGGCTCGAATAAAAATGTGTCAGAAAAGTATCATAGGATGCACATTATTTTTTGCTGCAATGGATTAACACTGCTCCCAGTGAAACAAAATACTTGCAACCTGTTGATTTCAACATTCATTTTAAAGCACAGAGAAGGCAAACAAGGCTCTATGTGCTTTATAAGGGAGCCTAATTTATTATGGTGTACATTATGGACACATTCTTCCCTAAGAATCCATTTCCTTGAGTTCAAACAATGCAGTTTCTAAAACATCTCTAAAGTCAATCTTATTAATCTTTCAGTGAGTGGACAAAAGCATAGTGCAAAGGTAATGTTTACACTTCAACAGTAACAGGTTCTTATCTCCCTTTAGGTTAAAAAAAGTGTTAAATTAAGGCGGCTCAAGTACTCCCCACACAAATGAGAATTAACCCCCAAATGCCCAGACAATGTTTTAAGACTCATGCATGTCTACAAATGTAGGAAACTGAAAAACTTTCAGCAAGAAATCTCAGGAAATTTGAGGGGTACAGTTTGGAAAGATAACAGGGTGCAACTCTTTCTGGAAGAAGCAAGCTTACAGTGGATACATCTGAAAGATATACTTGTGTACTCCATCTTCACCTGAATCCTCTGCAATGGTTTTTTTTTAAAAACAAAAAAATATTTATTGAAAGTATTTGTGTGCCTGACTTTCTCCCAACCATCTCTGGATCCAGCTTTTGAAGCAGAATGTCCAGACTCAAAAGCTAACACCATGGCACAAGACTCCTACAGGAGAAATAGTTTCATTATCCATATGCAAGCCTTGGGCTCATCAAAACAACGACACCAGCTGGACGGACAGCGATAGAGCACTTGAGAAAGTGCTCATCTGTCAACGAAGTCAAGAGCAGGCAAATGCTGCAGGTACTCCAAGTTATTCCCAGAGGCAAGAACACTGCTGCAGTCCACACCCACTTTCTTGTGTTCTGTCTTGAAAGGTAGAAGAAGCAAAGGAGGAAGCTTCTGCTGTCTTTCTCTCAGTCCCTCCTCAGTCTACAACTAGTGGGAGCAAGGGAATGCAGCGGTGCTAAATTTCATACAGGATGCTTTCAAGGATCTAACTAGCAAGGGTATAAGTAGGATGTCGCTATAAGGCCACCCACAGACAGTGCTGTGCTTAGCAGTGCAATAATGAAACAGGACCACCCAGAGACAAATGGGTGCTTCTGCATGCTTGGGCAACTCCTCCTGACGTGCAGAAAATATTAGTTTTTGTAAGAGACTTCCCCCACCCCCAAAAAAATGCCCTGGTGAGATCTGAGCATACTCACAGCCCTCCAGAAGACACAGAACACCAACAGAAAAATAAGTGTTAGCTAAACGGGGAGCAGGGATAGGAAATTGGCCTGCTGACGCTACTAACTTGTGGTATTCTGGAGAGCATTAGGCATGCATTTTCTTACCCCAACTGTCACTTTCCAAATTCTCCCACAGCAGACATGAAAGAGCACTGCACAGCTCAGGTTTGGAGCTAAACAAGCAGCTTCTTTCTCATCTTACCTTGAACCTTCGCTATTTAGTATAACTGTGCTATAGCGCCAGACTGCTGAGGTTCAGGTCCATGTGCGCAGAACACTACTTATCTAGCCCTGGAGCTTGGCAATGTCACCCAACAGCACTAACTAAACAAAGAGGAAATCCCTACCCCTGTGGTTCCTTCACAGCCCCTTAACTTGTAGAATTTAATGCTCGGTTATGTTTCTGGACTGAAATTTAATTCATTTGTACCCCAACTTTCTCCCCAATGGGGACCCATCATGCTCCTCTCCCCCATTTTATCCTCACCACAACCCTGTGCAGTAAGGTTAGGCTGAGAGAGTATGACTGGCCCAAGGTTGCCTAGTGAGATTCCATGGCAGAGTGGGAATTCGAACCCAGGTCTCCTAGACACTAGTCTGACACTCTTAACCACTACACCATATTCATACTCTCTGGTCTAACACAAGTGTGGAAATGAAGGCTGAATTTTTTTGCAGTTCTGAATCTGGACAGAGAGGGGGAAACAATCTGGCAGTGTTTCAGGAACTGGTTGCAAGCTTTTCAAGGTTTTGAAAGACACACAATGTCTTCACACTAGGCATTGCCTGCCTGCTCCTCGTGCTGCCCAGTTTGCATATTCATAATGAAACAGGTTATCACAAACACACTGGACGTCCTCAGTATCCTGAGAAGAAACTGATCCTAAAACATGGATGCACCTGGAACTCACCAGTACTTTTGGAAACAGGGATCACAGGGCTTTATAACCTAGACTTGGACAATGAAATACCACACAGGAAAATGCCTCACAAACCCTGTTGACAGTGAAAATGCTGCATTTCGGTGTAAATCAGTACATAGGTCTGGTGCAGTTATTTTCCATACTCTCAATCATCATCATGGGATTTGGGAGAAGCTTGTATGACTGTGTGCTGATTCCCCCAACCCCTTCTCCAGGGGTGGAATGGGAGGCCAAAATGGCCCTGGAAAGGACCGTTCCCCTAGCTTTACTGTGCCCCATAACCAGACAGAAGGCCAAAGAGCCGGTTGGAGGGAAAGGATGCACTGCCATGCTACTTCTCACCAGCTCCACCACAGGGGCATATGGGGGGCTCAGGGACTGAGAAGGGCAGAGGGTCAGCGGGATTTCCCCCAGTAAGCGGCCAATCTGCTTTTGTCCTCTTCTCTTGCGTGCCCCCCTCACCCATGGTAACGACAAAACCATTAACAACACGAATCTGGGTGAGCCTGTAAACTGTGATTTGAAACCAGTTTGAAGCAGCTCTCAAATCCTGGGTTATAAACTCACTCTGTTGATGAACATTAACCATAGTTAATACCAGTGCAGACATAGGTTTGGCTGCACTGAAGTGTTTCCACAGAAAGGAGGAGTTCTGCCAGCAGAGAACCACATTCTTGCCAGCCCGCTGATCTCAGACTTGCTGCTACATTATCAGTTCTGAGAAACCCCTCCTGAAGAAGTAATGTATAAGATTTTTGGATTGCATTCCATGGATATGTTTGTTTACATCACCTCCTCCTCAAGGAGAAGAAAAAAATATTTCCTTCCCAATATGTGGCTGCACCCACAAATGGACAGCCTACTTTAAAACTGAACACCAACTCAGCAAAGGAGGAAATCAGATTGTTTTGCCCGCTGGATATTAAAGGAAATAAGCTTCAGTAAAATTATTATAGGCCAATCTTTTTTTTCTTCTTGACGTTACCTTTAATCAAAGAGCTGTATGGTCGATATTCTGCAAACTGGTTTCATCTGTATTTCCACTTCATCAATTCCAAAGTAAAATTGTAACAATGCATATTTCTTGAAGTCTGTAAGACAGGAAAGGAATCGGAACTAAATTTCAAGCAAACTTTTTCAGTGAAAGAAATGTTATACTTGTTTCTACTTATATAGCGCTTTTTCTTGTGTACATGGGCCAGGAGTCATGGCTTTGAACTGTAGACCGTTTGACTACAGTGGCAGAAAGACAGTATATAGATATAGGAAATACAGACATAGGTAAAATGATGAAACTTCTTTAGAAGCTGAAAGCTTGCTATATAGTGTATGGGGGGATGGAGACGTCTTCTGTGCAAAGTTTTTAAAAATTGAATAGGCAATCCCTGACATTGAAAATACCAGTGCACAACCAGGAAGTACTTCGCCATATTAAAGTATTTTTTCACAGGCTCAGTTTTCATAAAAGGCAGACTTCTACTTTTTTTTAGAAGTTACTAACGGAAATTATTCACACTGAGAATATAATTCCTTTCTAAATATCTACGTTAGCTTAGGTCAGGCTGGGAAATATCTTAGACATCTGAATGCCAAGCCTCCTAAAAATGCTGTCACCCAAGTATTTATACACTCTCTTCTCAGCTAACTCCTAACAAAATGTGATGTTTTCCAGTTCTGCCTTCAGTTTTAAATAAACGATTGCTGTAAATAAGAGAGTTGAATAAATCGGGGGGTGGGTGGGTGGGGGGTTGTCATTTCCATCCTCTCCCCTGGAATGCATGGAAAGGGAATTATAACGAGGAAACACACAAAAATTGGGTCAAAGAGGCTTTAAAATAGAAGGGAAGCTTTGCCTTCAGGGTAGGTGTTAAAGATGGCGTGCTAGAACTGCTGGCCTACTGTGGAATCTGTACCACTTTGGAGGGGGGCACTCTGGGAATTAGGCTTTGTCTAATGACAGCAAAGGACCAGTGTTCCCTCTAAGCTGAGTTAGTGTGAGCTAGCTCACAGTTTTTTAGCCTCCGGCTCACACATTTTTGTCTTAGCTCAGGAAGGAGGGCTCCAGAGCAAATTAATTTGTGCAGGAGCCAAATCGTTCACTCACAACTTCAATGCCAGTAGCTCACAAAGTGGAATTTTTGCTCACAGCTTAGAGGGAACATTGCAAAGGACTCCCAGGAAATAAGGGCATCAGATCTAAACTCTTTCTTTTCACGGACACTTCTGCTTGTACAATGGGAAGGGAGCAATTTCAGCCAGCTCCCACTTGATGCTGCAGAGAGAGACCAAACTACACTGCATGCCATGTCACTCCCAAGGGTGTGGAAGGGGCTGCAGCAGGAGATGGGAAATTTGTTCTGTGTGAGGAGCATGGCTCACAGTTCTTTGGAATCAACAGGCTCCTCTGCACAGACTATTTTGATCAGCTGTTTCTCTCCTTCTTCAGTAGGAGGAGATAAACAGGTTTATCTAAAATGAAGAAAGGAAGAATGGAACAGAAGTATAGTATCTTTTCCTGTGAAAAGATTGGTCCATGTGCATATCTCCCTTATATATAAAAGCCGAATGGTGGTGGCACTTCTCTAGAACATTCCACACGCTCCGGAATTGGTTGGCACCCTGGTGTGTCACTCGAAATCTGTCCCTATCCGCTGGCTGCATTGCTTGAGTCTCACCTCCAACATTCTAAACAGTTTGCTGTTCCTCTCCCCCCCATAGCCAGTCAGAACACAGAGGTTATTTGCATATGCAGCCTCATTGGCCTTTGCCTCGGAATACAGAGGTCGTTTGCATATGCGACTTGATTGGCTTTTGCCTCTAACATTCTAAACAGTTTTGCTGTTCTGAGGTAAAATGTGTCCAATCTCCAGGTGAGGGCTGGAGATCCCTCAGAATTCCAACTACTTTCCAGATGGCAGAGATCAGTTCCCCTGGAGAAAATGGTGGGCTCTGTATCCTTATATGCTGCTGAGGTGGCCCCCGTGACAGCCAATGTGACGTAGCAGTCAGGGCTTCAGAGCACGGGAGAGCTGCAGGTGTGTGGGGGTGGAAAGTTGAAGAGTGAGGGGGAAATAAAGGTAGGTTGATGATTGGCTGGGAAGGAGATAGGGTTGCCAACTCCAGGTGGGAAATTCCTGGAGATGTGAAGGATGGAGCCTGGAGAGGGTGAGGTTTCAGGAGGCGTGGGACCTCGGACAGGTACAAAGCCATAGACTCCACCCTCCAAACCAACCATTCCCTTTTCCCTAGTTTCCACATATTTATGAAAGTGTTCATTCTTGTTAACAGATTTCTTTCAAGAGAGGCTGGATTTTGGCAGGACTGTACCACCATCCCAGTCAACAACCTCTTATTTGGGATTCAGAATGGGGGGCGCGGGGGTGTGCGTGGGTAGAATCATCTTAGGGCCAGAAATCCACTAAGAACTACTATAAAAACCACACCAGAAAAAGCACTTCTGGTGAAGCTAGATGAAAAGGTTAAGGGAACTAATTCTGGCAACATCTTCTGTACATCCACAACACAGAGACTATGGCTGATATATAATTGGGAACCACAGACTTTACTGATTCCAAATGGGCTTGGATTGGAGTAACTTTCCTCAGGATCATACTGTAAAGGCTTAGGTCACAAAGGCCAGAGGTGTTCTCACTCCCCTTCAAGTTATCTCATTGGTAAGGATTTGAAAAGTTAGATCACAGTCTTTCTAGCACTTGTGGAAGTCGTTTTTAACTCCTGGAAAGGCAATATGACCTGTTGTTTATTTTTATGACATACACATCTGTTGCCAGACATAATGGACCTTTGTGCCAAGTATCCATACTGTTGATAGGAAAGTCTTCAGAACTACAAAAATTCAGTGGTTGAGCTCAAAACACCTAAAGAGAAACACTCTACAGGGCTCACATCATTCTGGTTAAGATGATGTAGCAAGGTGACTAGCTCAACTTACCTTGATCTCGAATCAAACTGGTTTCTTCTTGCATGAACAATCACAAAACTCAGTATATATAAAAAATAGTCCCAGCATTGCAAGTCAAATCCCCCCCCCCCCCATTCCAGAGCTTCATAATAACCTTTTCCATTACAAGGAGGTCAAAATCCCTCTCACTCTGGAGCTCATTAGTAAGCATTCCTATCAGTGGTTCAACAGCCTTGGTAATAAATAATACATTTGTGTAAAATGGAGCAACCTGAAACTAGCCTGAATATCAGATTGCACCAGTTCTTAAAGACAGCGATCTTTGCCAAGTAGATATGCTGACATTTAACTTCCATATCAAACACAGGAAAAGTTAACCTTCGCATTTGGAGAACCTTCGGTTTAATTAACTGTTTTATACAATAAACAAATGGGAGACCTGCAAGGACTTGTGAAGGGCATCCCCACCACCTCTCCTCTTTTCCTGCTTCCTTCTCTCCTTACCACCCACCATCCACTGTATCTTTTTCTGCCACCCCCCTTCTTCAGCACTCCCTCCTTCCCTCCCCTTGCATCATCTACCAAGAAAACCTATGACCCAGTTGCATGGTGGGGAACACACAATGACTTGTGAAGAGCACTTTATTTTCCCGTATCCCCTTCCTCACACAATTTCATCTAGGGCTGCCAGGCTCAGGTCTGTGATGTGCCGCTGGCCAATCCACCACCAAATAGGGACGTCATTGGGCGATATCCCTAATGTGATGATGTCACCTGGAAGTGACATCATGTCAGCAATGTCACTCGCTGTGCTCTGGTTTTTGGGCAAACTCTATGGTTTCGAAGCCCAAAAACCCCATAGATCTTTTGCCCCCAAAACAGTGTCATGTGCAACAATCCTAATGTTATGACATCACTTCTGGGTGACGTCATTGCATAGGGACATTGCTCAATGACATCCCGCCCACTCTGGTGAGGAGACCTGGCAACACTAATTTCATTGTTTCCTCCTTCTGGAAGCCCCATATCCTCACCTTTCACTGTCTCCTTTCCTCCTTCCCACCCACCAACTTTTAATCTGCCCCTCAAACACTAAAACAAGCCCTGGGAAGGGCCCTGCCACTCCCCATACATTTTACTGACAAAAACCAATGGTCGAAGGCTGGCAAAGCTATTTTGCATGCGTTTTTAAGATTTCAGATTTTTCTGCAAACCTGGGATGTTTTGCATGTTCCTAGAAAGATCTATCTTGTCGGTTCATGACTCCAGACTCCAGATTTAAGTATCCACAGATCTGGCCACTTTGAGAATTAGATATATTTATCATTAAGTGTCAAAGTAAAACACAAAAACACAAAGCTGTTTTCTTAGCCTTCACTAAAATCTCTTTAATTTCATTTGAAATGCCTATAACCCTTGAAAACAGAAGGAATGTTATTGCTTTTTTGGGGGGAGGCAACTAACGTGTCCTGTGCTGTGACACCTTATTTATTTCTCTCTGCCTGAAAATAGCATTCACAAGGACATTCTGGGGCTGGTATAAATGAAGACCTGCAAAACGTTCTGGAAAAACATTAGGAAGGGGGACTGCCTTTATTTGTCCTGAGCACCTGCTGCAAAGAGAGAGATTTTTTTCAAAGATGCCTGCTTGAGGAATTCCAGGAATAGGGCAACTGATGTTACAAAAAATTCTCTTTATTTTTCATAACTCAGTTTCTCCCTGAAATTTAACAATCCATTTCTTTCCCTCTTCTTAGAAATTTGGTTTTTTGTTTCAAATTAATTCCTTTTTGATCAAAAGAGAAACCTGAAGAGAAGAAATTTCATTCTGCAGAAGCTCAGAGACAGGCAAGGTCTTCTCAAACTTTCCTACCCTCCAGCTACAGCCTGGAGGATGAAGTTGCATTCCAGTTTCTTATTCGTTCCTTCTTTGTGACTTATTCATGAATTCAGTCAAAAAACATTGAAGAGAGTTTAAAAGCTTTGACCCCCAAAATAAAGTTTGGACCACCATAAATCGTACACCTCCACATTCAGGGGACTCTCCCCTTTGAGGGGGCATATGGTGTTTCTTGGTCCAAAGCACAGTTCTCATGCCAGCTGCTCCAAAGTGGGGTACCCCAAGGACAATCACACAGGCGGACACTAGACTCCGACTACACCCCAATG